ACATCCTTTAGAGTATCCACTTGATAGATTAAGTTATTTTTCTCATTATCCAGTTGTGCGTTAGAAACCATTGCTTTTTTAAATTTCTCCTCAACTTCAGCAAGTGACTCCTAGATACATAATGTAAGACCTTATTAAACTTAATTTTACTCATCGTATTAAACATTAGAAATACATAATACAATTTTGCTAAAGTAGCAAACAGACTTTTGTTTCATATTCCATTGACTTAACTATCTTTAATAAAACCCAATAATAAAACTGCAGAAGTCAAATAAATAGGAACCTATAGAAAAATGTTAATCACATATCTTATTTTTCTCTTATTCTTCTAGCAGAATGCCAGTAACCCAAGCAATTATTTTTTTTACATATGAAAGCCTAAAGAAAAGCATTTACAGAGAGGTAGTTGTGTTAATGCGCTCAGGAAAACAAAAAAAAGTCTTGTGGCACTTTAGACTAACAAATGCACTTCGGCGTAAACCTTTATGAGCTAAAGTCTCAGCTTCAATTTAGTACAGATTACACAGACCTCACAGCACCAAACTTCCGTTCACAGATAACGAAGGACGCTATAGTGTATTTCTAATACTAGATGTACCAGTTAAGTAAGACTTCAGCTATTTAACCAAGTAAATGAGCATTCAATATTATCAGAGCTTTACTGTTAGGAAACGACGTTATTTGCAGATGTTTTTCTACACTTTCCCTGTCCACATGAAAAGTTACAATCACCTCTAAATAAGCCATTCAACCAGTCTGCTATCAGTTTGGAGATGAAACAGGGTAACTTTTTTTTAAAAAAGAGTTGCTGCTACATACTTTGGACGACCTAGTACACGGAAGTACATAAATTTGTAAATTAAAAGGCAATAGTATTTTAAACAACCACCTCTAAACTACCTGTCAGGAACCTGTGAATTTACAGTGTTGATGGCAGGGAAGAGGGTAAGGAGGAGTAACGTCAAAAGATGACAGATCAGGCAAACAAACTCAAGCGTTTTGACAGACAACCTGCAACAACTCCCTCCAAAGGGAAAATGGAGACTGGAGAAAAAAGCAGGAGTAGATCTACTCAAGTCCCGGATAGCATGTAGTATCTTGGAGGAGGAGATTGGGAGTTAAGCTTTTCCTAGCTTCAGAGCTGTATCTTTCCTGCTGCATTGCTATAAAATACGTGGGTTTGGGGCTAACAGCATGGGGAGACTTCGGCATTATTTACAACCCTGAGGCCTAAACAGCATTACAGGGCTCCTTTTGCAGGATGGTTGGAGCCCTGCAAAAGGAACAACCCACTCGGGGGGTTGAGTTTGCACTTCAACATTATGCTACAGGTCTCACTGGTCATCTGACTATAAATAAGAAGTTTTTAAGGCATTAACAATGTAATTTATGGGTGAAGCACAATTATGCCCATCTGCTAGTGAAATGAAACTGGTCATTTCTCACATCCAGCCCCTGCAGACCCAGATCTGCTTGAGGGTTCCCAATCCACTGGGGCAGATTTTGGGGGCACATGAGGTGTTGGAGGAAGGAGAGAATGGAGAAGCACAATTACACTACACTGGATCTTCAATTGTAGCTTTTATATGAAATATTGTAAGATCCCAAAAATGCAATTCACGTCAGCTTTATAGCAGTCTCCATACAATCAGTTCATGTCTACCTTTATTCAGTCTCCAAAAAATGGGGAGGGGGGAATACTAGTATACACTCAGGGAACTAGACTTATAAATCAGTCAATTTTTGAAGATGGTATTTCCTTCTAAAACATACAATTATTTTATTTTTACATGCATGCTTTCCTGTGAAGTACAGAACATTAAACTATATTGTGGTGCACTGCAATATTGCCTTCACTTCAAAACCAAATTCTACAAACGTGCCAAATGAAATGCAGAATAGGACAAGCCCTGCCCCAAAGCATTTTTGCTCTAAACAGACAAGCAGACAGTGTGGGAAAGCATGAACAATTATGGCTAAAAGCATCATGTTAGTTCTCTGTACTTTCCTCTTTTGCAAGGTGTGTACACACCGTAATTATTTAATGGGTGTATCTATTCAGGGATGACATATTTTTACGTGTGATTAGCTAAAAAGTGGATGGGAAGGGAAGAGAAGAGAAAAGACGAATGCAGGTGGGAGGCGAGTAAGGTAGAAAAACTTGCAAAAATACAGTGGAAGGGACTTGCCTGAGTTGGCAAATCAGTGTCATAATTTATTTCAAAACACATAACTAGTCAATGCATTTATGAGGATCAACCAAAATGTCTCACAACCGATACTACTTTTTATACCAAGGTGGTCAATTTATAGTTTCAGTTCCAATATTGCAATCTAATTATGGTGGGTTTTTCAGAAGCTCGCAACAATTTTGTGACATTTTGGTTGGTCCTAATAAAGGTATTGCCAACTACATTTTCAGGGTTTTTCCCCTTACAGATGAATATAGTTACAATTGCTTTTTATAGACATGCTTTATATAGCACCATACAATGAAGCTATTACAGACAGGGGTAAGGTGTAAAAGAAGATAATGATCTCACCAAGATTAAAAGATAAAAGCAAACAAGTGGATATGCTAGCTATTATATTTACACCTCTTTGGAACCCAACCATTGACTATCAGTTATTCTGCATGAGAGATAATGAAAAACCTTAAGCTGCAATAGGGTTTATATAATAGGCAAAATTTCCAGTTACCTTCACCTTTTGGTTGAAGTTTCCACAATGGTTCACTTTGCACATCACAGTAAACCACAATTAATGGTTTGTTGTGAATGCAGAAATCACTTCCCCTTTGCTATTCCCCTAGTGCATATAGGAACAAGAAGCCATGATGCCTGGCTCAGTGTTACATCCAAATGGGTGAAACGCGATACTGTAAGTTTGTTTTGCCGAGACACACCACAAACAGTTAGCCAAGGACAAATCCTGGCTTTAACATCATGGTATGTTTTGACCTAAACTACAGCTCTTGGTTCAGATGTAATGCTAAGTCAGGATTTATGGTTTGTTGCTCCTGCTAGGGAAGGAACAGAGCAGAAGCCAGCAGTGTGTTCATGATAAAATTGTGATATGTAAATGTTGCCATTTATTATCAAGCCATGCAGTAGCTCCTGCAGTAGAGAGGTTCCTGCGTCTAAAGTGGTAACTGGGATGATTGGTTAAAATGGAGAACAGATTTTTACACAAAGTAGTTGTTAAGGTTCACAGAACCAGGGAAAGGGCTCACATTCTATACCAGCTTGTAGAATTATCTTTAACTTGAGCTAATTGGCTAGGTTACCAAAAATTCTTTGGAAGTATAGTAAGCATTCTAAGAAGACACTTAGGTTTGACCTTTGTATGTTTTCTAGTGAAAAGGAATTCCATGACTGAGAGGAGTCTCTATAACTGTTTGAATAGGAGTTGCCTCTGCAATTTTTAATCCAAGCTGGTAATCCACGTGAGGCAAAAAGATATATAGATTATATGTGTCTCCATGGATCATAACAAAGTTTTCTGTGTTTGTTTTTAGCATGCCAAAAAATAAAACAATAAATCGTACTTTTACATGTTTTTACAGTCTATGAAAGTGGGAGTTTAAATAATTATTTCTTGGAATAAATTTCTGGTCCAATATTATTATTTTGTAACTCAGCTATGCCCCCTATCCCTAATCACATTGGTAATATCCAGTTGCTAATTAAAAGAATAAAATGGAACTGCAAATAATACAAAAGCATCTGCTAAACTTCCTATATTATTTACTTTAGTGGAACGGAAAGTTCACTGCCATTTTCACATAACACATTAAACACTTAAACATAAGAAAAAAATTCATTGGCAGATAAATATATTAAAATATTAACCATTTTTTAGTTGGTATGTTAGGCAAGTTCTTTTAAAAAGTGAGGTGTTAGTAAAGCTCTGTTAGTGAAACTGGCAAAAACTTAATTGCTGACATATTACCATAGAGAATGCATGCTTGGGAGAAACCCTGCTATACCTTTAGTTCTTTAAGTCCCTGCATGTATCTCCCTTCTACATCTTGTATCTGGTCCTTAAGATCATAGATATCCTGCAGGACATAGGAATGAACCATTGCATAAGAACATTGCAAAGAACTTACTATTGAACTCTGTGCTTAAAGCCCAGGAATTTAGATTAGTGTGTGTTTCACTTGAACAAATTAAATTACTGCTTTATTCTTAATTTTCTAACTTGACTGACATGTGGATTTCTATAAAGCTAAAAAAAATGGGGGGAAATAATGTAAAATGTTTGTAAATTGAAATGTTTTATTACCAAAACCTCACACCATCAAAGTATCACACAATCTAATTTCAAACATATAAAAGGCATCACAATCTTATCTTGGATACTATACTGAAAAGATATACCCATTAATATGAACTAAAATCTTTACAGCTAAACAATTACAGCCAGTTCTAAACAGTACAAATAATTCCCTACTTCTTTCACAGACTGCTAAGGGATGGTTAAGAATAAGAAGCCTGATCAATAGGTGATGTTTTAAATGCTAAACTGTTACATTTAGCACTAATTACACAGATGAAATCTCCACAAGCCTGAGCAATGTGCCGGACATGCCTCCCCCTCTTCTTTTCCCATGTAACCAAGAGTAAGACTGCTGCGGAGTTTAGTTTCTTTTTCAAACAGCATTGGCATAGTGTTACGTATAAACCAAAGTGCCTGGTATGTTATTAATTTTATATCCCACATAGTCCCACAGCAAGCATTTTGTGATCAAAGTAAAATTTAAAAACCCAAACCCCTGATTGCTTTTAAAAAGGTGCTTTGATTCTGTCTTGTAGTCTTATTCAATGTCCATTTCTTCCTCTCCAAATGAAGGAGGATAACCTTTTATTTTTAGCCAATGAAAGTCTGCTCACCCGCAATTCACTTAAGGAGGTATCAGGATCCACTAGACTGCTAGTATCTCCACTTCCTCGTCTAGATGAGTTTCCACTCAAAGGAGTCGCTGAATTGCGAGACGCTGGCTAAAGAAAGAAAAACATGGCATGAAAACTCCCATACATTTCAAGATCTTTCCTCAATACACTATGAAGTTCAGATTTCAACATTCAAGTGTCTCCCCACTTATGCACGTTTGAGTTGCGTATGACCGTGTCTGTGTGTGGCACCAGGAAATAATTAAATAAATCAAATTAAACTGGAAAGGCGCAAAAATGGCACAAAAAGAGGAAAACTGCAAAAATGGCATGAAAAGAGCAGGAAAACAACTAGCAATCCCAAGAGCCCTTGCAATTGCAAGCCAGATACTTTGAGGTACTTATTTACCCCCCCCCTTGTCGTTGTTTCTGCATTATCCTTCAGTGATGAGGAAGACTGAGAGCCATCACTGCCACCATTCATGCCAGTCTGAGAAGTGCTGTTTGTTTTTTCAAGGGTTTACAGGTGTTTTAGACGGTGTTCCCCACTATACATGATTTCACGTATAGGTGCGGTACATGGGAACGCAACCCCTGTGTAAATGGGGAGATGCCTGTACTAAAAACTTCCAAATAAGTTTATCAATCTTTTCAAGGAAATATATTTGCTAAGTTCCCATTGAGTTCAGTCTATCCAAATATCCTTTTTCATCAAACAGCTCTTACAGGAGCAGAACTTATTTTAAAATTATCTTCTTACAAGATACTTTTGTTGGAAGCCACCCATAGTGGCTGGGGAAACCCAGCCAGATGGGCGGGGTATGTATAAATAAATAAATAAAATAATAATAATAATAATAATAATAATAATAATAATACAACAACAAATGGGTTATAGATCTGGCATAACATTATTTGTAATCTTCTCCAGTCTGGTGCCCTCTAGATATTTTGGAATGCAAATCCCATCAGACCCAATGATCACAGCTGAAGTAGATGATCTACACCATGTTCTGTCAAACAAATAGTTGAAAAAGTATAATGAAGACAATCAGCAACACACAGGAGGCTGGAGAATCTCCCGATATCCTACCATGCTTTTTTGAATTGACACCAATATGCAGACTTTGATATGTTTTAAAGTTGTCCAAATCTCTTTAAACACTCACCCTTGTATACAAGTCAGAATATGGCCTGTCACTCTTTTCTTCCAGCTGGAAAAAAAAGAAAAGTGTTAATATTAAATTTGAACCATTTCTTTGTATTAGAAACCTGAATTACTGGGATCCCTTTTTCATCCATGTCAACACAAAGCTGAAACAGTATTATACAATGAAAGTTTCCTTCTTCCTTTTCCTCCACCTGAATATTGCATTTGCATTTAACAAAACTTCAGAATCAACAGCTCCGCACAAGGTAGTATCAGCCCTACAAATTAACACAATGCCTTATTGACAACAAGTTGCTTCTTAGGTTAGCCTTTTGTCAAGCCAAGCACAGAAAGTAAATTCGATGAATGTAATTTCAGTCATGGTTGTGTGTGTTTTAAATGAAGTGTATTGACTACTGGAAATTCACTAAGTAATATATTTTAAACATTAAGCTTTACTCATCTGCGAACATTTTTCTCCATTTCTGCTTTCCAAAATAAAAGTTTAGTAGTAAATGGGTTGAGAATAGTTTTTCATTATTTGCAGTTGCCACCAAGACAGACAATATAGACAATGCTATTTCATTTGTAATCTGTTGTACGCATTATAAACAGGAAACATAACTTATGAAAAACTGTTTTGTGGCATATGGTTTTAATTCATGATCCTCTAGTTCAGGGATTGCTAACCCAGCACCCAGAGGCACAATGGCACCTGCAAAAGCCTTCATTCATCAAAAGCCTCAACAGAGACCTCCGACTCTAAGCTTTCGTTTTTAAAAAGGTTTTAACCCTCTTAGAAAGTTATGAAGCAAAACATTATGATTTAGCTCCACAAATTTTCTTCACATGTTCAAATATTTATTATCATTATCAAAAGTTCATTCTTTCTCTGCTTTCTGAAGGAGCCCAGGGCAGCAAATACTATCACGCAAGTTAACTGAACTATCAAGGCTAACAGGTATTAATGGCAGGCTGCAAGAATATGTCATTTTCTTGTAACGCTGAGCTGGTCAGGTTGGAATGTCTATTTCTCCACGTCTAGCATGTTATGATGCATTCTGAATGACTGTAGCAACTGCATCTCCGGTTTCTATAGCCAACAGAATGTTAACGGGATCTCAAAGTATTTATCCAATTTCTTGAATCCCTAGGTGCTGGAAACATAGGGAACCAAGCTAATAGCTAGCAATTGTAACCAACCACTCAATGTCACTTCATCTCTAAAAATGGTGTTTGCAATCAAACTTTCAGTTGTGGAACAAAATCTCCAAAAGAATTAGAATGTGATTTATGGCTTTTGTAAATACCTTTCCAGTGAGCTTACGCAATAGTCAGTCTAATAAATACAAAGAAAGTGGGGTTTTCTTTTTACAGTGGTGGACATCTGGATGAGGTCAATACGACTGAAAGAATGGCTGAGGATAACCAACAAAATGAAATTATCCGTATATACTTATCACTAAATTTGCAGCTAATTCCCAAAATTAGATATACATTACATTCTGAACAAATGAAAACATATTTGCCTTTGCAAACCATCGTTTAGCACAAGAGTTTGAATCATTTGCCCAAAAGCCAGTGTACCTATTATAGCTGCCTTGGATATTTTATGCAAAGACAGACCAGGATTTAAGAAGGGATGATACTGCAACTCCCATCATTCCTGACCATTGCCCTTGCGCACTGATGGGAGCTGCAGTGTAACATTTGGGGAACCATTGTTCCACATCTGTGATCTGAAGGACCACACACACACACACACACACAAGCCCTCTTAAGCCTCCCACTTCAATGCTTTCCAAAAAGCTGTCACTGAAGTGACCATTTCATGAATGCCAACTGCTACCAGAAAAGCAGGGGAGGAGAGGGCGAGGGAAGGAGGGGGAGAAGGATGAGAGAGAGAAAGTGAAAGAGAATCAAGCACAGTGCACAAAGCTCTCTTGATCCTAGCCAGGATTTACAATTATGTATGAGCAATAGCAGATGCTAGGCCATGACTGGCTAACGATTTATCATCTCACTTTATTGCAGGTATCATGAATCTAACTGATATATGTCTGTCATTTTCTTTGGGGGGAGGTACTAGCAGACGTTCTCTTGCACCATCTGGTTTGCTATGCCAGCTTGATTAAATTAGTCAGAGGATCTGGTTTTTCACTTTCTCAGACAATATCAGTCTTCTCCCAGCTCCTTTAAGAGGTAGTTTATAAACAAGAGGAAGAACCGGGATTCTTGAGATCAGAAGCAGATCAGAGAATGTCCTTTCTCATTCTAGTCCTTCCCTTCTCATGCACAAATTCGCCCTACCAACCTAGCCTTAATCACCATTAAGGAATTAAGCCCTGAGCTCAACCACAATCAATGCTAATCAGGTTTCATTAACGACAATCAGAGTTTCAAGTGCCAAAGTATGGAGTAAATACTTGAGAGTGTTGTGTCAACATTTGCCCTATATATATTATTTTATTCATTCTAAGTACTTTTATGACACCTTTCAGAGCAAAGCCTTCCTAAGGCATCTTAGAAAACATAACTAGTTTAAATACATAACAGGATAATTTAGCTTCATGTACATAGTAGGGGTTCACTGCAGTAGCTGCATCTAGGCATGACGGAGGGGTGTCTAAGTGCTGCTTCCATTTCTTCTGATGGCAGTTGGTATAGAAGAAGAGGAAGGCTCAGCTGAAGTCACACCTGAGAAGCATAGCCTTGAACTGATGCCTTTATCAATTTTTGGCTATGATTCACTCCATTAAATACAATGTTGTGTACCTTCTTCCCTACAGAAACCTATCAAGGGGAGGCGCATGTACCATAATAAATGAAAACCAGGTTGCATAGAAGTTTGAATTTACAGAAATCTCTTTAGAGATATATTTTGTGATCCAAATGCAAATGAACTGACAAGCAGGAACCATACTCTGAACACTACAGTTGAATTTTTGCTGTTGTTTTTAAGCCATGCAGTCATTTATAAGGTTGTAATGAATCATGTATGTCTGTAACATAGCATCAGACAACTTGTTACTGGAATTTGAATATATACAATTATATTCAGTGCCATTAAAAAATTATAGTACTATTTACAAAGGCTTCAAGAAATGTATGTAAATAAGACAATCTACAATTAAGAACAGTTTTGCATGCAGATTTAGACATTGGTACACAGATATTAAAGTTAACACTGCAACATGATCAAGTTAGCTGGAGGTTTCTTTATAAAAGACGAAGACCATGCAAGTTGGATTCTATATTTTAAATAAGTTTTATATATGTAATATTCTGCACTGCTAGCAACATTTTATACTAAAACCAGCAAGCATTACTAGAATATTAATACATTTCCCAAAGAAAAAGGACAGTCATTAGTAAACCTACAGTGATGACATCAGCACATTATCAAACACTCACACTGTTCATGTCTGGAATGCTGACATCATCCAAGTCAGAAACAATGCTTCCCCTACGATTAGAGCGGCTAAAATAATCAGCTGCAGTTTCACTATGATCAGAAAAATCAGTTGACTTTGATGACAAACACAACAGATGGAGAGAAAAATGACAGAATAATACATTTCAGATACATGAAATAAAATGTGGACATGTTAATCTTATTTGCCAAAATTGTTTTAGATGAGATTTTCCTTTGAAGAGTGAGATCTCTCTCCTTTCTGACTGGGAAAATTTATATTTTATTTTATTTTATTTTTATTCTTGTGGTTTTCAAATTCTGTTCTATGGAACCCAGGGATTTCACACTGAACAACAGCTTAATCACAATCACCAACCTTCTCACAACTCCATGCATTCACATATATTTGTTTCACATGAGATTAACTCCTTATGTAGTTTCAAGCAGATGGCAACCTGAGGAAATTTGGGACGAGAACATGATGGAATTTGATGGTACTATCACATGTATCAATTAATTTTCAATCTCATCGGCTTCAGAGTTTTAAAGGATAAAAAGAGAATGGTATCGTTACTGAATCTGGACAGGGTCATAAGCCCTCTTTCTCACACACCCTAATAGTTTTTATCCTTTCCTTGGGCATCAAACCTATGCCCTTACAAACCTAATTAACTCACATTGCACCTGCTCCAGCATCTATTGGTCCTCCCTACTAGTCTTCAAAACACCTTCCTAGCCTGAAAGCGTAGGGTGGAAGAAGAATATAGTTCTCACTGGAGCAATACATTTAAAGCTTGTATCTCATTGTCACATTCAGCTGCATTTTAAGAATGTTGCTGAGTATCAAACTAGTGTTTTTTTAAGTATAATCAATAGCAAAATATTTATAAACAATTCATGTTGAGATATTCAGGATTCTAAATTTTATCCTTAAACTAAACATTTAATTGCCTAGCAAGTTTTGATTTATTGTGTTTGTCCTCCTTATGCCCTAATAGTCACTGTTTATTTCATACAACCCGCCAGGTTACATCTCCCTTCCCATAATAATTCTTTTTACCCTTGCTCAATGAATAATTTTTAAGCCATACACATACAAATAATAATTTAGTTTGAATTTACTATCACATTTATGTGTGCCTTGAACAGTATTTTTTCAGATTTAGCTACTGCAGACAAACTGAAGAAAAGGGACTAACTCACACATTTACCTTCACTACAAAAAGTCTCTTGTTTGAGAAATAATTATAAGACACATTACAAAAAATGCAGGTTTTGAATCATGTGTTTCCACTACACAGGAAATAGTATATTGAATAACTATTCTCCACTGCATATCAAGAGAGTTCCCAAGTTATTATGGGAAATGCCACGCCGTATACAACCACAATTTTTTTTTGATGATATCAACTTTGGTATAGGAGCAATCATGTGACCCTTTCGAATATCTATCAAAAAGTAAAAACTGATGCCTTTTGTGAAGTTTATAGGAGGTTGGTGAAGGAGTGGTCAATATTAATAATTTTATTTACTTCCACACACTCAGTTTTATTCCCATAACTGAGAAGGCAATCTCTAAACCAAAATATTCCTTGTAAATTATTACTATTTAAGATATAGAAGAGAAAGTAAATGACACAGGAGTAACTAGGTGTAAACCTCAAGATTTGTGAAACTACAGTTCCCATTATCTGCCCTGACCACAGGCATCAGTGGCTGAGGCTGTGGGAATTAAAAAGTTAATTACAGCATCTGAAGGGTAGCACATTGGCCAGCCACAAGCTGATGTTTCATTCCATATCAGCTAGCATTACCGCCACTTCCCATAAAATATCTCAAAGTCATTTCACAATAAACCTCTTTAAGTTTTTGTAAACCACTTTGAGGGTTTTGCTTTGTTTTTGTTGTTTAACAATTAAACAGTATATAAATTTTAATAAAAATAAAAATAAAAACCATTACAGAGATGGGGTTCCAGCCTGGGTCCAATAGGATTCTGCAGGTTCTAGTGGTGGGGAACCCCCAGCCAACAGGCCTAATTAGGTCCACCAAGTCTCCCTATTTGGCCCATGACACCTGTGACTTGGGCATGCCTTGGCCCAAACATCAGCATGCAATTCAGCCTTAAGAGATAATAAAACAGAACATGACTACTTCCAGCTGATATGAGCACACAACGTGAAGAGTGACACCTAGCCTACTCATCTCACTCTAGGACCTGTGGTACTTCATGCAACAGAGTTCATAAAAGCAGAACAAAAAGCACAACCAGACAGCCCTGCTCACCACACTATCCCTCCTGCCTCGAACAGCACGATCAGAGGATGCAATGCTCCCTGCTTCATCATCTGTAAACTATAAAGTTCAAAGACAAGTAATTAACTAACTTACTGTTGGATAAACGTTTGTTTGGATTAAGTAACATTCAGTGTTAATGACTCATATGCATACTAAAAATGTGCAAACCAATGCAACATGCTGAGGGGAAAAAATAGTATTTTCATGCTGCCTTGAGGACACTGCTATTGACAGTGAAATGCTCGTCTTTGGGACAAGTGGGAAGGCATGTGGAGGGTAGCATAAGGATCCAAGGGGGAG